ACCAGAAGATCCAGGCTGCCTGATTCTCAGTCCTCAAACTCTGAAGATCTTTGTGCCATCTCTAATATTAATATTATTTATTTCCAGATCATTGTTAATTATTTTCCATAAAGATGTGGCTTACGGAGGTCTACTCAGATTTGTACGTAGCTAAACAAGCACAACCAAACCAGAAACAGCTGTTAGTAGTTGAAAGCCATAAATTCCAGAAACCAATGGTACTGGAGGCCCATTTGCCATGAAGTAGTCAGGAAGGAAGAATTGTTTATGGTTTTGTGGAGGTAACACATTTTGGTAGACAGATTACTGTTTGTATTCAACTCCTGTTTCATTAGTTATTCACACATATCCCTGAAATGAGCCTTATTGGGTGAGTGTAGGCAATCAATCAAGGAACTTTTAATTGAATGAAATTGATGAATTGGTGAATTAAATTGATCTTAGGTGGACAGCAAATGCGTTTGAGACTTGCCTAATTATACCTGGAGGTTTTGCTTTGTTCCCCCTGGTCCCCAATACATACTGTCATTTCTGCTCAGCCTCCTAGATGAGACGGAACGTTTTCTTTCCCTTGGTTTGTTTCCCCCACTAGAGCATAGTGTGGAAGTAGCTTTGCAAGGTTCTGCTTGGAACATAGTCCCAGTGCCAGAGCTCTTCCACACTTCGTTTGTGTGGTCAGGGGAATACCAGTGCCACTTCTCTTGGAGGATCCCTGTCGTAGACACTGGAGGCCCAAGAATATCAGCAGACTGTATTTGAGGTCCTGGATTTCCTACACCCCTCTTTCCTCCAGATTTCAAAATCTACCTTCAGAGACTAGGCTTGGCAAAGAGTGGAGATGCTGCTTTGGCAGAGGCTGTGGATGCTGTCAGGATCTTTTGCACCCCTATTGTCACAGAGGTGTTGGCTGCACAGGAATGCAACATGGAGAATCAGCAACAGGAACCGATTGGTGTTTGCTACAGCAGACATTGATCATTTCTCATGCTCATGCCTATAGCTTGCCAAACTAGACATACTCCTAGCTGAAACTATCTGAGGATACTGATGCTGGTGGGTTACTCAGTGCTGAACCCATATTCCCATCCCTGCTTCCCTCTTGACTTTCTGTTATAAAAAGTTACTGACACTGGAGAGGTCTCTCTGGCGTGCTACTTAGGAGACCTAGAACTTCTCAAGAAAGATGGCTCAGTATCAGAGGAAACACTTCAGTATTCAAATAACTCCTTCAGGCATCACTGGATGTTTTATATTGTTTCATGTTGCCGAGGGTTCTTTACTCATAAATTAGATTCTTTATATCCTTCTTTTGTAGGCCCCTTCTCAAGAGCTCTTCTTCAAGAGCTATTCTGCAAGAAGAGAGGATTGTAAATTCCAAGTCCTTACTATGGACTTGTGAGTGATCATAAAACCCTCTCATTGATAGTCACTACGGCTGGAGAGAAAAGGAGATTGGAAACACCACCAAAGCTAGGGGTGTCTGAAATAAGTATTTCTTTTCAATCAAGGCTGTCTAATTACCAAGTCTTGTTTGTTAATTGTAAACAAACATAGAGAGTACTTAGGAGACTTTGAAGAATCCTTGTGCCCTGGCTTTTGGGGGGACTTCTCTGTGCTGAAACCCAATTTTGAGTAAGCACTTGTCAGTGGGTACTTTCTCAGTTATTAGCAGACTGCAGATACTGCTGACACAGTTCCCCAGGTAGCTGCCATCATGACCAGACGTTTTGCCTCTCTTTCCTCTCTGGAGCTGCGCAAGACAGTTATTGTCTTGGACATACGGTTATATGTCTTACAGGATTTTGATGGACCACATTTGTTTAACTGAAGAACAGATAAAATCCTGTACAGACTCTAGGACAACACCTCAAAGATTTTTTTTCTTCTCTTAAAAAGAAGGCTTTAGATCTTTCAATCCAAATCACTCCATCTCCTTTTTTCATGTTTCTTTTTTGGTCCTGATTGAAATTAAAAACCAAATGGCAGCCACAGTTGCCAAGAAAGTCACGCAGTACTCAGTGCAGCTCAGTACCACTGACATGCCTCAGATTTTCTCTCATTCCTTATTAAGGACCATTCTCACCAGGGCTTACTTTGACAAGAGGCAAGCCCTCTTGTGGCTTTAGGAGCTAGTTCTTACTTGTTTCAGAGAAGAGGTCTTACCATAGCTACATTCTAGTTGTATAGGGAGAGGCAAGCCCTCTTGTGGCTTTAGGAGCTAGTTCTTACTTGTTTCAGAGAAGAGGTCTTACCATAGCTACATTCTAGTACTGTATAGGGAAGAGGATAGAGATCCGTCGAGTTTTCAATAATTAAATCCTCTGTAAAGACAAGTTTAAATTCAAAAGGTGACTTCAGCTAAAATAATACATAATTTCAGAAAGTTTCTTGCTCTGTCTCTCAGAAAGCATACATTCTTTGTGAATGTGAGTGCAGTGATGGGAACCTTGGAATAACAGATTCAGTGTTGTCCTTGGACTGCTGTAGACCTTTTCTACTTGCTTGACCTCTTTGAGAGCCACATTTCAAATCATTCTGGCCCTTAGAGTTAATGGGGGCAAACAGAATTTGCTGCCAGCCAAGACCCATTCTCACAGGATTGGCTGTGATTATCTCAGTGATCAGCTGCGAGCTTGACCCACAGTTTGAGCAGAGCAGCATGTATTTATTTTATGCGCATTTATTTGATATCCAAAATCAAATATGATATATAGAATCTGCAAAGGTGAGTTCATTTTGTATACCTTCCAAAGTTTTGTTTAGCATAAAGATGACTTCTCTTTTCCCTTAGCATCATTGTAGCAGTGTAATGGTGATAAAGCCCTTTGAATTGTACAAGTAACTTTAAATTCTTGGGTAATCTGAAAGCTAGTGGTCTTTGTTCACCATGTTAGTGTACATTTAGAATGGAAGATTGTTGTTCTTTCTTACCTGTGGACAGGGGGACAGCACATTTAAATGACTAAACAGTACTCAGTTTCCCTCAAGACCAATTCTACATTTTTTCCTCTAAGATTTTAATAGCATTTAATTTAATCCACTTGTTTCTCTTCATAGATCTCACCCTTTTTGGGTCATTGCACTCTTAAATGTCAAGGGGCTTGTGTCTTTTTGTTATATTTGCATTAAGTCTTTCAGATGCTTAGGATTGTTTATTTCTCTTGCTGAGAGACCTGAATGTCACAGTCACTGTTGCACAAAGCCTGTCAAGTAGGGTAAGAACATGAATGAAATTATGATACAAATCTGCCACAGCTGAGTGACCTCCCCTTCTTCACATTAATAAAAGCACATTCCTCAAGAGTTCAAGTTACCTTTATTCAAGGATGTCTTGAAATCTGCAAGGTGTTGACATGACATACTACTCACAACTGTGCTACCTCGTTATTGCATTTCACCCAGAAAGGATACTGCGTTTGGCAGAACACGACTGAGATTGCTGTTTGTGTGAAGGGACTTCAAGACCCATCATCAGATAACTTTGATGTTGGGGACTTCAGTCCAGAGTTACAAAAAGTGTGAATGAACACGTGGACTGTCACGTTAAGTTAGAAAAGAAGTTACCCAGCTGTAACTGGAGGTTTTTAAGATGTGTAGTTCACTTGCACATTTGCCTTCTACTTGCCTTTCTTCCTCCTTCACATTTCAGCATGCGTCTTTCTCAGATTACAGGTTAAGAGGAACAGATCTGTGTGTGTGTTCTAACTTGTATGCCGTGCAGGCTGGTTTTGAATTCACGTGTTGCACTGTCACCCCAAGTTAGGACGGCCGTGTGAACTCCACACCTTGAGAGCACTGTCTTCATTGCTAGGTTTACCTCTTTCTTCTAAAACAGAAACTCAGCATGATGCAGCGTAGAGGAAATTCTTAAAATATTACCCCAATTGCACATGGCAGTTCTACAGATTTCAGATGAGGACGTACAATTTGATACATGCTTGTCTGACTTTTATACCCTGAGTGAGCTTAGAGACGTTCTGCTAGAGGAACATCAACATGACTGCATAGACAGCCTTAGGATTTGGCAATCTGGTGTTATCCAAAGGCTACAAATAGTCTTTCTGAATTTTGGAAGAACTTTTTTTTTAATCCAAATAGCACTTAATTACTATATTGAATATAGAGTCTTCCCTTTATATTATAGTGAAAACAAAACTATAGGCAGAGGGTTATAGTGTGCTTGAAATGTCCGTTAAAATGTGAGGAGTTTGAAGGGAAGTATGGTTTGTTTTGTTAGCTATCCTACTTGATAAAACTTGTCATTAACCTAAATATGAGGAGAAGGTAGCCATAGTATCCTGTGTTTGTGACAAATACATTTAATTAAAAAAAAAAAAATCTTAAAGTGCAACTGGCAAATGCCTCTCAAAGCAAATATAAAATGTGACCTGTAAGGAAAGAGGGACTCTTGTAAGCTGTATCCTGCTAAACTTTTATGTTGTTTATAATGTTTTGTGACGGAATATATAAGTAAGTGGTCAGTGCAACTGCTGTGTCTCCGTGCAAGGGCAAATACTGAGACCAGTATGCTGTAGTGGGATCAGCCTTACTGATATGATGCTTTAAAAAACGAGCTGTAACTTACCACCACACATAACAGTGCAGCGCTTTCTCCCGATGGGATGCTTATTGCAGCTTTAGAATTGGAGTTTTAATGGCCAGATGAGCAAAATGTCTCTCCCAACACAGTTTATAAATTCAATATGTAAGAAATGTCAAGATTAAAAGAAAAAAAAATGTCTGGTATTCTGCAGGGAAAATTCTCATTAAAAACGAGATTTAAAAACTTTTTTTTTTACAGTCTGTAGCACTGTGCAATAATACAGTAAATACTTACGCTTTGGCATGAACTTGAGGGGGAGTTTATTGGAGAACACAGAGGGGTTTAAAAATAGGACTAGGTTGTAGCTTGGCCAAGAATGTAGTATAGAATTTTAGGTTCTAACATAGTTTTCTTTAATAAATATGAGTTTAATTGTTAACAAATATTCACATTTCAGAGCTGAAGAAAGACCAGTTAAGAAAAGAAAAATGCAAAGCTGCAGCTTCCAAAAGAAGAAGCTAAAATTAATGGAGGCCATGTTGGAAGAACAAAAGAAGTTGAGTAGAGCTATGGAAGAAACCTGTAGAGAAGTGCGCAGGATTCTGGATCAGCAAAACATCATTCAAGTTCAAAGCTTACAGTTACAGGAGAGAATGATGAATCTACTGGAGAAAATGATCTCCAAATCTAATGTGTAGTTTCCTTTGTGAATGCCTCTGAGATTACTATTGATATTATAGATATCCCTTTATTGCACACCGTATGTGTGTCTGTTGCCCTGTTCCCAGGTTTTCCATGGAAATTAAAACCTTAGTGTAATCTTAGTTAAGCGAAGAGAACTGATAATGCAGGGTGAGAGCTATCCAGTATGATAAAATTAGTGCAATATATGCCTAAGTTGACTTATTTTTATACGGAAGGGTTAAGAGATGAATAGCTCTGGGAACTTCAGTACTATTTATGCCTAGGTCAGGTATTGTTTTACAAACAGTGGTGGTGTCTATTGCTTTGCATCAAGGACTATAGCTTGACCTGTTGTAGGAGAACGAAATAGTGCATTTCTAAACATGGTAATTGCATCTTGACTTTGCTGATGATTAAACCCTGTTTTGAAACATACGTTGTGATTGTACAAGTGACCTATGGTTCTTGTGAAGAGCTAGTTTGGACCATGAGATACGTCATTTTAAACTCCATGCCTGATATGAATAGTACTCTAAAGTATTAGGGTAAAAATAGTCTATTCAAATACACTTTTGATATAAAAAGAAAACCCCCAAACCACCTTACTATATACTGAATACTAAAATGTATAGAAGATACTTGAAGTTGCTTTTGATATTAAATGTTTAATTTTTTTCATTAACTGGAATCTGTTGACTTAATGAACAACCAGCAATGAAAACTATCATTTATTCTCTATCATAAAAGAAAAATACTGTACTGTGTGTATATACATATATATATAATCTATCAAATGAAATAAAGAAAAAGAAGAAACTTATTTATTATTGCTGGGCAGATAGTATGCTTTGGAACAGTGAAAAATACTGGGAGACATAACCACGGTCAAAGGTTTTTAATTCTTAATTGCAGCGTAAAGATCTCCTATACTGATGCCCAAAATGTAGAGATGGAAGTCATGAAGAATATTCGACACCTCTGCAGTAATATTTGCTGGTGGCACAACTTCGGTATGCAATTAGATGTTTTAAGGGGTGGTCGGTAAGGCAGATCAACATTGATACACCGCAAGAGGGAGCTGGAGGCATAAAGGATTGTATTGAAGTCCTTAAGATGAAGTACCAGCAAGTGTTTGGTTCTTCAGTGAAATATGACATTGAAATAACCTTTAACAGAAATTAAAAAATTCACCAGCTGAATTTCCTATATACCATTTCTTTTTTGCGTTCTCCTTGAAAAACCTATTTCTGCTGCTTTCACTGTGTTTGCAAGACTGAAGGTTAGATTCAGATATGGAAGTATAGAAAGTATAGAATTAATGTTAGTACTAGGAACTCAGGCCATTTTCCATTCCCGCTGTTAAATAATGTCCCCTCTTGAAATTTTGTTTTTGAAGGTGTTTGCATTTTCCTATATAATTTAACATATTGTTGCCTAAGCTAATGTTAGCTAAACTATTTTAAAACCCAGACCCAACCAATTAATCTGTAATTATGCTTGGTGAACAGGATAAAGGTTATACTCACCAAGCAAATTAATAATATGTGGAAATATTTCTTAGAAGATCCTGCAGGTATGAAGATTAAGAATGATTAAGTATGTAAATGTGGCCCATTCCTACAGAGTTTAATTCATGATAACAGGATAATGCAAATGTAGGAGACTGAACCTGCAGAAAATGGTGGCTGCTGAAGTGTAAATGAAATAACTCTCCTTCACGCCACCTTTACTACAGTGACTGGGTGACTGGGAAAAGGGCAAGTGTCTGGTCTGATTCTGCAAGGATAGGGTGATAGCTGACATTTATCAAAAGTGAAATTCCAAATACTTTTGTGTATGTAAATTGAATTAGTCATATCCGAAAGAGAATCATGAAACCTTATTATATCTCTGCCTGCAGAACTACTGGTAAAAGCAGGACTGTTCCTAATGTCATATAGGTGATGAGAATACTCACAAGAGCATTGTCATGCAGGCATATAAGAGAGGGAATATATGTTCTGTGCTTTGTTATGGTTTTGCACATTCCAAACGTAGATCTGTCACAGATTCAGGTAGGCTGATGTATCCATGTTGTAGTGCTTCCTGACACTTTAACTTGTTTACAGTAAGATATAAAGAAACTCTCCCCTGACTCCACGGGAATTAATAATATTTACCGATATTATCTACTTGAACCTTATAGCAATTAAATCCAATTAATGAGCAGTAACAATGGCAGCGTATTTGAACCTTGTACCGTAGAATAGGTAGCCCCTCTCCTTACATGCTATGAGAATTCTAACTCCAGAGCTGTAGGAACACAGGAATGGAGGAAATCCACTGATTTCCTTGCCTGCTATCACCAGCAACCATGTCATATAATTCATTTTAAGATACAGGTCCACACATTTACAAAAGGGATTAGGTGTTTTGTCCCCAGAATTTTAAGAAGAGCTGCATTACAGACGGGTAAGTTGCAATTTGGAAGATTGCTTCTAGGATTATTTCTGGTCGATTTATACCAATTTCTTCTCATATCAACACTGTGATTTTGCCGCTTTCTGTAGTGTTTACTCTTGAGAGTCAGAGGTTGCGTCCCATGCAGCCCTTCTTCAGAAGAATAGCACTCTTTTATAAGGTAGGGATTATTCTGATGACTGTTTTGCTAATTTTGCTCTTTGAGTCCATCCTTTTTAAAGATGAATGACCAGAATGATATACAGCGTTCTAGATGAGACTCTGAACACTGTCTTACGTAACTGCATTAAAGGAAGTGGTGTTTTTTGGAGGTTGTGAGATTTTATTTCTACATAAAACATGGTTTTAGTAGTTAAATTAGAAGTTCAATTTTAAAACCTCATCTCTTTAACAAAAAGCTTTATTCCCATCCTTCCAGATTATGTGTTCTAGCCCTGTTTTTGTCCAGAGTGAACTGCTGTAGACAAATATAACTAGTTTCATGTATGACAGAATTTTTCTAATGCTTTTTGACAACAGGTTTGTCAAATTCCCTACCTACCCATAGTTTCTTTTTGCTGCTGTTTTGTTTGTTTTAGTAAAGACTGAACATTTACTTGAAAAAATAGGTTGTGATTTTTCTGTTTGGTTTTGTTTGTTTGTTTGGGTTTTTTTTAAGGTAGGCAGAGATTTCTCATCTATATGGGACAGTTAGCTGCAGCTAAAGATATTTGAATGTTTGAGATATTCAGACTAATTATAACTTGAAAGACCTGCCTAGAATTAAAATGCTTGGTAGAATTCCTGGTGCTGCAAAACTGAGACACTGCTTCTGTATCTGTATGAGTAGGGAGTTTAGAGTGTAATAAGTATTCAAGGAGAGCAGACCAGGGGTTACTCAAGTTCATCAATGTAACTATGACATTAAAGGAACTCCTTCATGGCTTCTAGAAGTGTGATCAACAAATAAACTGTAGCACAGGAAAACAAATTTCTTATTTTCAGGGCAGTAACGGGGCCAACACAGTATGATATCACTTTCACTAAATGAAGTGCCTGTATTACACATACACACACAGATGGTGCAAATGGAAAACATAAATAGGGGAGGAAATACACTGCCCGGAGGCAGGTGACTTTGAAAGTGATGTAAAAATAGAATGAAAAGGAACTGGGGAGGCAGATGAGAAAACGAGACATTGAGAAACATGCAAGCAATTGAGGAGAAGCGGATTGTGATGAAAGGAAAGATGGGAAAAAAATACGTTGGGCAAAGGGGCAAAGTAAATGCCTCCAAACAAAGCTAGTAATTGCAGGGAAGAGAAGGAACACAACAATTTAAAAGACAGGAAAGTGAAAATGGAAGAAAAAACATAATGCTGAAGGAGAAAAGTTATGGTATGAATATGAAGAGCTAACATTAGTGAAATTCTGTATATTTTGAATAGACAGCTCCTACAGATAACTTAGTCCAGTTATAAATAGCGTACAGCAAGTAGTGACATTTTTTTCCCACCAGAGAAAAATAAGTCTCTGGACAAGTATTTCGAAGCAAAAATATTTTTCGCAAACTAGAGGGGTTAAGTAATTTGTAGAGGGATTCCATTATAATTAGACAGCATTTTCTCATGTTGGTAGTAACGATTTGCTGGTTAAAATAGTTTGTAAGTATTTTTTTTTTTCCTCGACTTCAAATTGGAGAAGCATTTTAAGATTTCAGTTTATTTCAGGCCCTGCCAAGTTTAACAGTTATCCACAAAACCAGGCAATATATTTATGGACATGGAATGTCTTTTATCATTTTCTCCATAAACAGCTATCTCTTTTGCAAAGTACAAAACCAGCAGAAAAACAAACATACAGAATTTTTAAATTATTTTTCCAGACTTAGTCTGTCCAATTCAGTGCAGGCAAAAAGAGTTTACAAGTCTGTAGACTTACCCTAAGTTGACAGCCTGGTTCTGTGAATAGTCTCTTGTACTAAAGTTAATGGGACTACTCAGATGAGTAAATTTATTGAACTGTGTATGTATATGTTTGCAGGATCAGTTCCTATGCTGATAACGTAATGTGAAAGGCAAATTTGGAAAAGAAATTTAGGAACATTTGGCGGTGTTATGTCAGCAAGTAAATACTAACCATCTGGTCTCTAGATTGCTAATCTATTTCCCCTGATTTTATGGTAGCATACTTCCTGTGTGTGCAAGCTTGAGACTACATCATTAAACTTTTGTATTGATCTTTTTTAGTGTTTTAACAGAAACTTTTAAATTACTTTGCTGTTTTTGGGGTGAAATTTTCTTTCTATGAATAATTTTTCTGTTTGGAAATTTTTCATTCTCCTACAGCTTATTTTACGGTGTTTTATTGGAACACATTTCTAATAAGGATGAATAATTTCAGGTATGTTCTTTGAAAAACAGATCAGTCATCTGCAGTGAACGACATCCAGTTATCTAGAGCTGACTAATTACCACAGATAAGATCTCAGTTTGATCCTGGTTGAAAGTTACGTCTTTGTAAAATATTTGCAATGTAGTGAAGGGTGTTGCTTGTATTCCAAATCTCTTGTTCAGTACTGAAATATTTTTTTAAAGAAAGTAGCTCATATAAAAATATCTTTCAAAGTAGCTGCCTTCAGTCACCTGAAAATGAATCTTTTTATAATTCTGTTTTCTTAAACTGTACTTCTTCCATCAGGTTCTAAGAATTTGGCAAATAACTCTGAAGATGTTTAAGATGTTAAACCATATATATCTGAATTTGGATTTGTAAATGTGTTGGTAACATTTTCAACAAAAGTCTGACTTCCTGATTGTATGTTGTTCTCTTAGGGGTAAGTTCTGGATTGCTATGCCTTGCAAGAAAAAAAGGAATTGGTGCATACTAGTTAAGGTATAAAATTTGCTACATACTTAAATGTTGAGAAGTACTTATCACAGCTTGAGGAAGGCTTGTTTCACTGAGGGAAGCTATAGGAATATCAATTTTCTATGAACTGCCAAGTAAACATATTTAGAAAATTAATTAAAACTACTTTCAAAACTCTCCATGATCCTCATTCTTCCCCCTACAGGTTTAACTATAATTTGTCTTTAATTCAATATAATTAGATCAAATGCAACCTCCTTTATGGATGCATAAAACCTTGCTCACATGAAGTTGTGTGGTGTTAACTATAATGGTATACTTTCTTTAAACTTATATGAATAAGATTTATATACTTCTTTTTCAGTTAGCTTAACTTGGAACTTCACTAGATGAAGATGAAATACACCACTGTTAAATCTTTCACAAAAATAAAACTGTCCACATAGGGTTTAAATCTACATCTCATCTATATTCAAGGATTTAAGCCTATTTAGAGCTGGTTCACAT